CCAGGCACCCCAGTGGGGACCCTCACCCTGAAGGGAGTGTGACCAGCTGCAACCAGCCATAATCCCCTCACCCAGGCTGGCCAGGCACCCAAGCGGGACCCCCACTCTGATCTGGGATACCCTTCAGGGCAAACCAGCCGGCCCCCACCCGTGCACCAGGCCTCTATCCTATATAGTAAAAGGGTAATATGCAAACTGACCCTAACAGCAGAAAGACTGGGAATGACTGGTCACTATGACACACACTGACCACCAGGGGGCAGATGCTCAATGCAGGAGCTGCCCCCTGGTGGTCAGGGCACTCTCACATGGGAGGAGCTCTGCTCAGCCACAAGCTAGGCTGATGGCTGCCAGTGCAGCGGTGGTGGTGGGAGCCTCTCCTCAGCAGCGCTAAGGATGTCCAACTGCAGTTTAGGCCTGCTCCCTGCTGGCAAGTGGACATCCCCCGAGGGCTGCCGGGCTGCCAGAGGGATGTCTGATTGCCATCTTGGGCCCAATCTCCCGGGGAGCGGGCCTAAGCCAGCAGGTGGTCATCCCCCGAGGGGTCCCAGACTGTGAGAGGGCACAGGCCGGGTTGAGGGACCCCTCCCACCCGAGTGCACAAATTTTTGTGCACTGGGCCTCTAGTATATATATATATATTTGAGGTGAAATTCACATAGCGAAATTAACCATTTTAACATGTGCCATCAGGGGCATTTAATGCATTCACAATGTTGTGCAACCACCACCTCTAATTCCAGGAAATCCCCCCCCCCCCAAAGAAACTAAATCCCATTGGCAGTGGCTCCCCCTCCTCACTCCCCCAGCCCCTGGCAACCACTAATCTACTTTCTGTCGCTATGGATTTGCCTGTTCTGGACATTTATGTAGATGGAGTCACACACTAGGTGCCTTTTGTGCCTGCCTTCTCACGCTCAGCGTGACGTCTTCGGTTCATCCACATTGTCGTGTGTGTCAGTGCTTTGGTCCTTTTTACGGCTGAGTAACGTTCCCCCGTCTGGATGGACCACGTTTTGTTCATCTGCTTATCCACTGATCAACATGTGGGCTGTGTCCACCTCTTAGTGACTATGAATAGTGCGCATCACATATTTTTGCATTCATTTTGATTTTTAAAAAAGATTCATTAAGACAGTGTTTCTCTTGATGACTGAGTTCTCCTCCTTTCCTCCTTAAATTTCATGCCTGAGGTGAGTGCCTTGCTCGGCCCAGCCTGGCTCTGGCCCTGGCCCTGGCCCTGTAGAGCACTCAGCACCCTGTGAGGGCAGGGCTGCTACAATGATGCCCATTTCAGAGCTGAGACAATCGAGGCTCAGGCAGGCGAAGTCACTTGCCAGGGTCTGCCAGCTGCTGGCCTGGTTTGGGCCATGGCCTTGCTGTGTGACCTTGGGCTGGTGACTCTCCCTCTCTGAGCCTCAGTTTCTATATCATTGGGGTAATCATGGTCCTGTAGCAAAGTGGTGCCTGTAATATACGTGGCACTGGCCTGAGGGCACAGCTGGTGCTTGGAAGCCGTGCTAGCCTCTCTGAGGTTGCTGCAGGTGCCCTGGCTCTAGGGAATGGGAGCCATGCCCCCAGGGGACTGAGTGGGCGTGTCTTCGGCCTCTGAGATCTGCTCATGCCCCACCCCCACTGGGTGAGGTGGGTGGGGGCTGGCCAGGCATCTGTGGGAGCAGGAGACACCCACCAGGCTGGTGCAGGGAGTGTCTCAGTCCAGGTAGCACTGATGGGGTGTCAACTCATTCAAACATCCCCTCTGTCCCCTCTGTGCCCAGCCTCCCACAGGGCAGCTCCCAGTGTCAGGAGACAGAGGTACAGACACTCTGGGCCCCGTTGGGTAGAGCTGGGCAAGAGGGGGCGGGGTTCCAGGAGCCTTGGTGGGTGGTGGACTGAGGCGGCTGTCCTGAGGTGCCCCACCCCCGGCCCCCTCTCCTTGCAGAACCGGGACCTCTGAATATCAGTGCCGGAGCCCATGGGACCACTATGAGTTGGCCGGCCAAGGCCCCGGGCCTCACATACTGCATTGAGTGGCAGCCCCAGGGCCAGGACGAGAGCCCTGCCAACTGCAACCTGACTGTGCCCCAGGACCCGGATTCTTCTGGAACAGGTACCAGGGTGGTGGCTGCCCCCTGCCTGCCTCCTCCAGTGGAGCTCCCGGTCCGCTCAGACCTGCGGGGGTTGTACACGGGAGTGTCCGAGGCCTAGAGAGTCTGGCCACTTGCTTGAATCACACAGCGGTGGGGAGAGGCCGAGACTCGCGCCCCACCCCCGATGCAGGCTGGAGGCTCCTGCCGGGAGCCTGGGGTGGTGGCAGGGCTCAGCCCTGGGCAGATGGCGCTCAGGCGGCTAATGAGTCTCACATTCCAGGGTGTTTCTTAAACATTCACCCTCGTCAAGGAAGGTGGCAGCGGGCAAGAGGCTGGTGACAAAGTCCTGAGGCCTCTGGACGGAAAGAGAGGGTGCCCTGCGGCCCAGGCAGCCTTTCGCTCCCCCACTTCCTGCCCTGGGCCTGGCTGGGGCCACAGGAAGCTTTAGCCTCAACCTGTCCCTCCAAGCTCCCAGCCTGGGGAGGAGGAGCGGGACGTAGAGACTCTGCCCCCTGGGGTAATGGCTGGGCTGAAGGGGCTGGGGGTGGGTTGGGGAGCGTGGGGAGGGACGCTGGAGGAGGGGACACTGGGGCGAAGGCCGTGGAGTATGAGTCGGAGCGCTCTAGGAGTTCCTTGCAGAGGGCACAGCCGGTGCGAGGTGCGGAGGGGGAACCACCGCTGACTGGCTGGCCTGCCCTCGCTAACCCTTTCAGCCACCCTCCGCTGGAGCCCAGCTGCCGGGGCGCTGGGGCAGAGGGCGTGCTACCGCGTCACCGTCTCGTCCTCGGCACAGCCCAGGAACCCCGCCTCGTGGTCCACCGTCTCGTCCGCCTACCACTTCGGGGGCAATGGTGAGTGGCCCGAACTTGCAGGGCGGTCTTCCTGGAGCCTCAGCAGCGGCCCCAGGAGTCAGGAGGAGGAATAAGCGTTTAGGGTTACGGCTGCTGGCCGGACCCTGGCCACGCTGGCCGGGTGCAGTGAGCTCAGTCAACTCCTAAGACACCTGAGAGGCGGTGCCCATCTCATAGATAAGACCCCGGAGGCTCAGAGAGGGGGCGTGGCGGGGCCCGAGTGGTGGGGCTGGGGGTCGCGGCCAAGGTGCCCTGGGCAGTGCTGGGACGGAAGTGCCTGGCCGGGGCTCTGGGGGTTGACCATGGCCATGACGCCGGTTGCCTTGACGCTGGTTGCAGCCTCCGAGGCTGGGAGCCCACAGCACGTTTCGGTGAAGGTGCTCAGCCCGGACTCGGTGTCTGTGGACTGGACGCCGTCCCTGCTGAGCCCCTGCCCTGGCGTCCTGAAGACGTACGTGGTGCACTACCGGGACGAGGACAGCAACCAGGTGACCGGTATGTGGGGCAGCGCGGGCCTGGCCGGGGGAGGAGGGGGTCTGGGCTTGAGTCCTGCCTCGCGATGTGACCCTGGGCACCTCACCGCCCCTCTCTGGCCCTTCGTTTTCCAATAATGCAAGGTAATTGGACTCAGGGGTCTCGACTGCCCCCGAGAGGGACCGGGGGCACTGCCAGGTGCTCAGAGTGTGCCAGGTGTTTGAATGGCAACCCCTCACTCATATCAGCAGCTCCACTCCCACTGGGTGTGACAGCCCCCCGGTGGGACCAGGGACACCCCACTGCCTGAGCCCAGCCTCCTGGGAGTAGAGGGGGTCCAGGGACCCATGGTTGCCTCCCCCTGCAGAGCTGCCCGTGAACCGCACGGAGACCCAGGTCACCCTCGTTGGCCTGCGGGCTGGCACAGCCTACAGCGTGCAGGTGCGAGCAGACACTGCGACACTGAGGGGCGCCTGGAGCCAGCCCCAGCGCTTCCACATAGGTGAGTGGGGGCCCGGGGCAGGGCCCAGGTGTTACCCAGCATGCACTGTCCCATTCCGCATGAGTCCGCCAGCGGCCCTGCCCTCCATGCATCACCTTCAGGAGAAAGTCCAGCTTGATCTGCTCCCACCGCCTCCACCCACCTCATCTCCTACAGCTTCCCCGTATGAACCTCTCTCACACTCCTGTGGCCTTGCTCAGGAGGGCCCCTCAAATACCTGGAATGTTTGTTTTCTCTGCTGTCAAACTCCTACTCATCCTTCAAAACCCAGTGCCAAAGCTTCTTCCTCCGGGAAGCCTTCTGTGCTTCCCTCTGGGCACCCTCCAGCTGTGACCGCCCCTCTTCCCCACCTGACACCTTGGGGATGGGTGGGGGTATCTGTGTCTGGTCTGCCTCCTCCAGCTGGTATGGGGGCAGCACAGGAATGCATATGAATGAGTGAGTGGGGAGGCGGGCTCCATTGTCTTGGGGGTTGTCCCTGTGAGAGATTTGGAGACTAAATGATCCCTGTTCCTGCCACGGTCCCTGCCTGCTGTCCTCGCAGTGAAACCTGGACAGAACCAATAGTCAGGGGTCCAGGGGCGCGACAGAGCACTTCTTGTGTGCCAGGCCTTATCCCGCCGTCACGGGCCAGGAGACTCCCTGGCCTCCCACTTCACAGATGAGGAAACTGAGGCATGGTGGGGCCGGTGGTGTGCCAGGGTCCGCAGGAAGTTGATGGATGGCCTGACCCACCCGATCCCTCCCTGACGAGAGGCAGGAGGTACCCCTCCCCCAACCCAAGCTCTCTCACTCCCAAGACGTCCAGCTTCCGGAGCTGTCCGGTTTGTCCATCTTCCTCGCCTCCCTGGGGAGCTTCCTGAGCATCCTCCTCCTGGGCGTCCTCGGGTACTTCAGCCTGAACAGGTAACTCCCAGCCTCTCCCGGACACGGTCCCCCACAACAGCTACAGTAGCAATAGCAGCAGCAGTATCAGTGGTAGTAGCATTAACAGTAACAGTAGTAGTGGCAGTGGCAGTAGCAGTAACAGTAACAGTAGTAGTGGCAGTGGCAGTAGCAGTAACAGTAACAGTAGTAGTGGCAGTGGCAGTAGCAGTAACAGTAACAGTAGTAGTGGCAGTGGCAGTAGCATTAACAGTAACAGTAGCATTAACAGTAACAGTAGTAGTGGCAGTGGCAGTAGCAGTAACAGTAGCAGTAGCATTAACAGTAACAGTAGCATTAACAGTAACAGTAGTAGTGGCAGTGGCAGTAGCAGTAACAGTGGCAGTAGCATTAACAGTAACAGTAGCATTAACAGTAACAGTAGTAGTGGCAGTGGCAGTAGCAGTAACAGTAGCAGTAGCAGTAGAAGTAGCAGTAACAGTAGCAGTAGCAGTAACAGTAACAGTAGCATTAACAGTAACAGTAGTAGTGGCAGTGGCAGTAGCAGTAACAGTAACAGTAGCATTAACAGTAACAGTAGTAGTGGCAGTGGCAGTAGCAGTAACAGTAGCAGTAGCATTAACAGTAACAGTAGCATTAACAGTAACAGTAGTAGTGGCAGTGGCAGTAGCAGTAACAGTAGCAGTAGCAGTAGAAGTAGCAGTAACAGTAGCATTAACAGTAACAGTAGTAGTGGCAGTGGCAGTAGCAGTAACAGTAGCAGTAGCAGTAGAAGTAGCAGTAACAGTAACAGTAGCATTAACAGTAACAGTAGTAGTGGCAGTGGCAGTAGCAGTAACAGTAGTAGTGGCAGTGGCAGTAGCAGTAACAGTAGCAGTAGTAGTGGCAGTGGCAGTAGCAGTAACAGTAGCAGTAGTAGTGGCAGTGGCAGTAGCAGTAACAGTAACAGTAGTAGTGGCAGTGGCAGTAGCAGTAACAGTAACAGTAGTAGTGGCAGTGGCAGTAGCAGTAACAGTAACAGTAGTAGTGGCAGTGGCAGTAGCAGTAACAGTAGCAGTAGTAGTGGCAGTGGCAGTAGCAGTAACAGTAACAGTAGTAGTGGCAGTGGCAGTAGCAGTAACAGTAACAGTAGTAGTGGCAGTGGCAGTAGCAGTAACAGTAACAGTAGTAGTGGCAGTGGCAGTAGCAGTAACAGTAACAGTAGTAGTGGCAGTGGCAGTAGCATTAACAGTAACAGTAGCATTAACAGTAACAGTAGTAGTGGCAGTGGCAGTAGCAGTAACAGTAGCAGTAGCATTAACAGTAACAGTAGCATTAACAGTAACAGTAGTAGTGGCAGTGGCAGTAGCAGTAACAGTGGCAGTAGCATTAACAGTAACAGTAGCATTAACAGTAACAGTAGTAGTGGCAGTGGCAGTAGCAGTAACAGTAGCAGTAGCAGTAGAAGTAGCAGTAACAGTAGCAGTAGCAGTAACAGTAACAGTAGCATTAACAGTAACAGTAGTAGTGGCAGTGGCAGTAGCAGTAACAGTAGCAGTAGCAGTAGAAGTAGCAGTAACAGTAGCAGTAGCAGTAAAAGTAACAGTAGCAGTAGCAGTAACAGTAGCAGTGGCAGTGGCAGTAACAGTAGCAGTTGCAGTAACAGTAACAGTAGCAGTAGCAGTAACAGTAGCAGTAGCAGTAACAGTAACAGTAGTAGTGGCAGTGGCAGTAGCAGTAACAGTGGCAGTGGCAGTAGCAGTAGCAGTAGCAGTAGCAATAACAGTAGCAGTAACAGTAGCAGTAACAGTGGCAGTGGCAGTAACAGTGGCAGTGGCAGTGGCAGTAGCAGTAGCAGTAACAGTAGCAGTAACAGTGGCAGTGGCAGTAGCAGTAGCAGTAACAGTGGCAGTAGCAGTAACAGTGGCAGTGGCAGTGGCAGTAGCAGTAACAGTAGCAGTAGCAGTAACAGTGGCAGTAACAGTAGCAGTAACAGTGGCAGTGGCAGTAGCAGTAACAGTGGCAGTGGCAGTAGCAGTAGCAGTAACAGTGGCAGTAACAGTAGCAGTAACAGTAACAGTAGTAGTGGCAGTGGCAGTAGCATTAACAGTAACAGTAGCATTAACAGTAACAGTAGTAGTGGCAGTGGCAGTAGCAGTAACAGTGGCAGTAGCATTAACAGTAACAGTAGCATTAACAGTAACAGTAGTAGTGGCAGTGGCAGTAGCAGTAACAGTAGCAGTAGCAGTAGCAGTAGCAGTAACAGTAGCAGTAGCAGTAACAGTAACAGTAGCATTAACAGTAACAGTAGTAGTGGCAGTGGCAGTAGCAGTAACAGTAGCAGTAGCAGTAGAAGTAGCAGTAACAGTAGCAGTAGCAGTAAAAGTAACAGTAGCAGTAGCAGTAACAGTAGCAGTGGCAGTGGCAGTAACAGTAGCAGTTGCAGTAACAGTAACAGTAGCAGTAGCAGTAACAGTAGCAGTAGCAGTAACAGTAACAGTAGTAGTGGCAGTGGCAGTAGCAGTAACAGTGGCAGTGGCAGTAGCAGTAGCAGTAGCAGTAGCAGTAGCAATAACAGTAGCAGTAACAGTAGCAGTAACAGTGGCAGTGGCAGTAACAGTGGCAGTGGCAGTGGCAGTAGCAGTAGCAGTAACAGTAGCAGTAACAGTGGCAGTGGCAGTAGCAGTAGCAGTAACAGTGGCAGTAGCAGTAACAGTGGCAGTGGCAGTGGCAGTAGCAGTAACAGTAGCAGTAGCAGTAACAGTGGCAGTAACAGTAGCAGTAACAGTGGCAGTGGCAGTAGCAGTAACAGTGGCAGTGGCAGTAGCAGTAGCAGTAACAGTGGCAGTAACAGTAGCAGTAACAGTGGCAGTGGCAGTAGCAGTAGCAGTAACAGTGGCAGTGGCAGTGGCAGTAGCAGTAACAGTAGCAGTAGCAGTAACAGTGGCAGTAACAGTAGCAGTAACAGTGGCAGTAGCAGTAACAGTGGCAGTGGCAGTGGCAGTAGCAGTAGCAGTGGAAGTGGCAGTGGCAGTAGCAGTGGCAGTGGCAGTGGCAGTGGCAGTAGCAGTAGCAGTGGCAGTAACAGTAGCAGTAGCAGTAGCAGTAACAGTGGCAGTGGCAGTAACAGTAGCAGTAGCAGTGGCAGTGGCAGTGGCAGTAGCAGTGGCAGTAGCAGTAACAGTGGCAGTGGCAGTAACAGTAGCAGTAGCAGTGGCAGTGGCAGTGGCAGTAGCAGTGGCAGTGGCAGTGGCAGTGGCAGTGGCAGTAGCAGTAGCAGTGGCAGTAACAGTAGCAGTAGCAGTAGCAGTAGCAGTAGCAGTAACAGTAGCAGTAACAGTAGCAGTAGCAGTGGCAGTAACAGTAGCAGTAGCAGTAACAGTAGCAGTAACAGTAGCAGTAACAGTGGCAGTGGCAGTGGCAGTAGCAGTGGCAGTGGCAGTGGCAGTAGCAGTGGCAGTGGCAGTAGCAGTGGCAGTAACAGTAGCAGTAGCAGTAGCAGTAGCAGTAGCAGTAACAGTAGCAGTAACAGTAGCAGTAGCAGTGGCAGTAACAGTAGCAGTAGCAGTAACAGTAGCAGTAACAGTAGCAGTAGCAGTAGCAGTAACAGTGGCAGTGGCAGTGGCAGTGGCAGTGGCAGTGGCACTAGTAGTGGCAGTGGCAGTGGCAGTGGCAGTAACAGTAGCAGTAACAGTAACAGTAGCAGTAACAACCACTCACTCCAAGTAGAGATTTGCGCTCACTTTACAGATGAGGAAGCTGAGGTGCCGATGGTCAGGGCCGGCAGCAGCGGGGGCAGGGCCAGGTTGCGCCCCGGGGCCTGTCAGACTCCTGCCCTGCCCTCCCCAGTCCACGTCCTCACTGCCTTTGTAACATAATGAAGATGAAAAATACAAGTCAGAACAACAAAACAGGAGAATAGGCAGAAGCACTGTCCTCTGACCGGCTCCCCTGTCTCTGCAGGGCCTTGCCACACCTGTGCCCGCCCCTGCCCACACCCTGCGCCAGCACCGCTGTCGAGTTTCCTGGCGGCCAGGGGAAGCTGGTAAGGGCTCCTTTTGTAATTCTCGGTCCTGTTTATGGGTCTATATACTCTGGGCAAGGGCTCTGATGAGGAATTAGCTCATTTTATTCTCCTCCAACTCATAAGTCAGGGACTCCAAAAACCTGCCCCATTATACAGATGGGAAAGCAGAGGCCCAGAGAGAAACCTCCTGTGGGCCATTCCCTAACGGCAGAAACAACTCAGAGTGACTTTGACCAAAAGGGAATCTGAAGGGGAAAAAAATCCCAAGGTGGGGGCTTCAGGCATGGCTGGATCCAGGAACCATGGATTCATCTTTCCGTGCTGCTGTCCTCCCTACACACTTCTTTCCCAGGCAGGCTCAGTCAGTCTTCCCCCATTGACTGGAGCAAAACTCTCAGGGCCATCACTGATTGGCTCAGCATGGCTCACATGCCCCACCCATGAGCCCAGCTCTGATTGGCTGGGCCAGAGTTACCCGCCCAATCACATCCACTATGAGAAAAGCAGGCGCAATTTCCCAAAGAGAAGTGGGGGTCATTCCAATGGATCTTCAAAGTGGCCTCAAGTTTTAGAGGATGAAGGCAGCGGGGACCTGGCCCACCCCTTATGTGGGGGGGAAATAGAGCCCCGCCCACAGCCTCACCCCGTCCTCCCTCTCCAGGCGTGGCAGTGGACCAGCCCGGCAGACTTCCAGAAGGAGGAGGAAGAGTTCCTGAAAGAGGCCCTGGTGGTGACCATGCCGTGCGGAAAAGGCGAGGTGGCTGACCTGCACGCGCCCAGCCCGCTCCGGGGCCAGACAGAGCTGCCCTGGGGCACCCTTGAGCCAGCCCTAGACGCAGAGCTGTGCTTGGAGGACAGGAGACAGGGGCAAGGACACCCTGAGGCCGGGGTTCTGGAGCCCAGTGGGCAGCACAGTCTGGAGGGCAGCTCTGCCCGGGCGGCTGGACCGTCCCTGCTCCTGGGAGATCACATGCAGAGTCCCAGGTCTGACGGTCTTCGACATACGGGCCTGGAGGCCTGAAGGGGAAAAGGGAATGTCCACCTCATCTTATGGACAGGACAGAAAGACTGACGATTAAAGTCACAGCAGGTGGTTATTAAATGCGTATTGCATACCCAGCCTTTTCTGTTCAGACACTCGCATGATGCCTGGGGCACATCCTGTCCTATTTTACCATTTTACAGACGTAACAACTGAGTCAAACTCCAGCCAAGTGTCCCATACCCCACGTCCCCCTTCCAGGTTCTGCCACCATCGCCCCTCTCCCCACTCTGCCCAGCACCTGTTGCCACATGTCCTGTGAGGGGAACCCTAAAAACCTCCGTGAAACAGAAGAGGCTGCACCAGGCTGGGCTTGACATTATGGGGCAGGGGCAGGCACTGCCATTGGCCTGTTGGGGTGGACTAGACTGGAGCATGGCCCAGGGGGGTCGAAGCGGATCCCAGGGTCCTGGGCTGGGGGTTCTGTCCCAGGAGCACTGGGTGGGGAGTCTGGCCACTCCGCTCCGCCCTGCACTGCTGGGTCTCCAGGCTCAGAGGATCTAGGTGAGGGGAAAAGAAGGGGGAGGTGGTGGCCCCTTTCTAACCTCAGTCTCCTCCCCTGTAGGAGGGGAGTGAAGATAACATAGACCTCAGAGCTGTTGGGGGAGTCTAAGCCTTAATAAATGAGCCTTCTGTTGGGCTCTTGGGATTCTCTCTCCCCCGCCACCCCCCACCCACGACTGAAGCCTGAATTCCTGTTCAAAATCCCAACAGGAGCCCGAGAATTCAAGTATTTATTCATTCATGCCACATGCACTTCATCTTTTCTGGTTCCTCCAAGCGCACCCCGCGCATTCCCACCATGGCCACCAGGTGGCAGCAGCGACGCGTGTCTCTCAGACCCGGTCTGCCCCTCCTCCTCCCACCTCCCACGGAGTTTGCAAAAACAGACTTTTCCGTTTTAAAATATGGAAACTCCCAACCACTGAATTTTATGGTAAAAGGAGATGAGGCCAGTGGGTGAGGAACACCAGGAAGCTGGCAAAACTGAGAGGCAAGAGGTCCAGGCTCTGCCCATGTGAGGGGCCACAGTTTCCCATCTGTGCATCTAGATGGGGGACACAGAGGCCTTAGCCCCTGTGCTCCGGTGGCTGTTCACTGTTCCCTCCTTGGATTTGCCACCTCCCAGCTTGTGCACAAGCCTGCCCTCCACCAGGCATGCATTCACTGGAGGGACCCCCCTGCCCACCCCCATTCCTTAGGGCTGGGCTCCATCCTGAGAAGGTGGCTCAGACAGGAAAGGGTGTTGGGTCAGCAGCCTCATGAAAAAGACCAGAGTGACCTGACTCCCCTCAAGTCTCGAACCCTCCATCCCACTCCCCACAGTGGAGCCTCCCTGTGGGCAGTCTCGGTCTGGGGCCTACCCAGTAGCACAGGGCCCAGTTTGGCCACAAACCTACCCCCAGGCACAGCCCTCTGGGTCCAAGGAGCAGGAATTAGATGTTTATTGAGCACTGCCTACAACGCCTGCTGAAGTGAATGGGAAAAGGAACTCCCTGCTTCCATGGGGAAAGGCTGAGCCTTCCTCAGAGAGAAGGGCAGGAGGACAGTGGTACAGAAAGATGGGTCCCTAGTCCCTGGATCTAGCCGTGCCTGCAGCCCATCCCCCAAGGATTTTTTTCATCAGGTTCCCTTTTCGCGGAAGCTACCCTGAGCTCTGTTTCTGCTGTGAGGAAAAGACCCACAGACCCCTGTGTGGGCCTCTGCTTGCCCTCTGTATCATAGGAAGGAGTCCACAACACTGGTCCCTACCTTAATGGGTTGGGCAACCCTGCTTAGCAGAGCCCTGATCCAGTGTTTATTATTGAGCACCTGCTGTATACTCATTAACCTAGGCTCTTCGAGTGTTCATCCTTCTTCAGCTCCTTCCAGCAGCTCCAGAGTCAAAACTGTGGCAGGCCTCATTTCACAGCTGCATTCATTCATTGATTCAGGAAGTCAGTGTTGAGCACCTACTGTATACCAAGTCCTGTTCTGCACAGTTCCCACCCTGAGGGACTCCTGGTCGGGTGGGAAGGCAGGTGCTAATCTAATCATCACACAGAGTTATAATCAACCTTAGAAGAGCGATAAGTAACAACATGAAGAACGGGCTTCCTGAAAGAGATGGTGCTGGGTGAAGAGAGGCCAGAGCAGCAAGATCAAAGGCCCTGAGGCAGGTGTGGCTGTGAAATGGGTGAGGGGGAGACAGAGGTCACAGCTCCTGGGCTGGGGGCTCCATGGGTTTATTCTTAGGCGGGGAGTGAGGGTGGGGGATGGGAATGACCTGGAGCAGGGACTCGAGACTGGATTTGTGGCTAGTCCCGATTCCTCCTGCTGTGTTCAGCCTGGAGCAGGTGACCCAGCTTTGCTGGCCTTGGTGTTCTGGCTGTGAAATGGGTGAGGTGACCACGCCAGAGCCCTGCCCCCGCTCACCTCCTCCCTCTACCTCTCTGTCCGGGGCCGACTGTCCCTTTCACCATGGCTCCCACGGTGAGTCAGGAAGCTTGTCTCCATCGGGGAGACAGGCTGCCTCAGTTTACCTCCCCAGACACTTCCCTCCTCTGTCTCTCTTGTGGCTTCTGGGTTTGGTCAAATAGGGGTTGTCTCTGCCTCTGCCCTGGAGCCAGGATGAGGCTGGGTGTTGGCGGCCTCTGGGGACCATGGGCTGCAGACGGTGAGGTAGATCAGCCCCGGCCGGCCTCTCGCACTCCCGGCCTGCGTCCCCCAGACGCCAGCAATGCCTGCCCCCCGCGGTGCCTCTGCCTGGCCCTCCCCCTTTGTGTGATCTAGACACTCACATGCCGTACATCTCCTCCTTGTAAAGGGAACAGTTCAGCAGCATCTGTACTTTCACACTGTTGTGCAACCATCACCTTTATCTAGAACATTCCAACACCAGAACATTCCAACATCTCAAAGGAGACCCCCTCACCATGAGCAGTCACTTTCCACCCCTCTCCCCCAGGCCCTTGACTACTAATCTGCTTCCTGTCTTTACGGATCTGCCTTTCTAACCGTTTTACAAATAGGATCGTACCCTGTGTGGCATTTTTAAAAAGTTTTTATTGATTTGAGAGAGGAAGGGTGAGGGGGAGAGAGAGAGAAGCATCGATGTTTCCCACAGGCACCCCAGCTGGGGATCGAACCCCAAACGCAGGTATGTCCCCTGACCGGGAGCCAAACCGGCAACCTTTTGGTGTATGGGGCGACGCTCAGCCAACTGAGCCACACCGGCCAGGGCCTCGGCGTGATGTTTTTGCGGTTCGTGCATGTTGTGGCGTGTCGGTGCTTCATTGCCTGTGTGGCTGAGTAACACTCCACCGTGTAGATGCGTTACCATTTACTCATCCTCCATTTGTCGCTGGCCCCGGGGCATTTCCACCTCCTGGCGCCGTGGCCAGCGGCTGTGAACACTGTGCACGGGTGTTGGTGAGAACGGTCCTCATTCCTGTTGGTCCCTTCCTGGGGCTGCAGCCGCGGGGTCCTGTGGTGACTCCATGTCCCACTTACTGGGGAGCCAGCAGGTTGTCGCCGGGAGCAGCAGCTGCACACTCACCTTCCACGCCCCGGACCGGACCGCTTCTCCTCACCCTCATCACCAGGGACTTCCCGAGTCCAGCCTCCCCGGGGGCGCGAGGCGGGTCCTCCCTGCGGTTGGATTGAAAAACTCATTTTTCTTCGGGTTCTTTATCTTTTTATTAATGAGTCATCAGAGTTCTTTATTCTGGATACGAATCCCTTATCGCACATGTGCTTTGCAAGCATTTCCTCCCATTCTGAGGGCCGTCTTCTCATCCTCTAAAGTGTCCTTTGTCGAAGAAAAGTTGTAAATTTGATGGCGTCCAACTGGTGTGTTTCCCTCTGGTCTCTGCAGGCCGCGTGGCTGTCCGGTCCTCCGGCCCGCAGCCCTCCCTCCGGCGGCCCTGCACCTGAGCCGGGGGTGGGGCATCGGCTCCAGCTCTGTCCTGCCCCCCTCGCCCCCGCCCCCCAGGGCAGCACCAAGCAGCCTCCATCAATGTTTCATAGCGGAGCACGCAGGCCCTTGGCAGGGACGTGGGAAACCGCGCCCGGGCACCTGCCCCTTGGTCGGTGGCCACACGCGGAGGCCGCGCCCACGCGGGGCCCCACTTTCCAGGAGGAGAAACCGAAGCCGGGGGCGCGGGGGCGGCACCTCCCGGTCCCCGTGTCACGGACGCAGGTCGCGGCCCCGCCGGGGCCTGAAACAGCTCGGTTCCCGACCGCCCCGGCCAACCCGCCGGCGAGAACCGCCCGCTCCCCCCCCCCCCCCGGGGCGGTTCCAGCTGAACCCGCTCCACCCCCCCCCCCGGGCGGTTCCAGCTGAACCCGCTCCCCCCCCCCCCGGGGCGGTTCCAGCTGAACCCGCTCCACCCCCCCCCCCCGGCGGTTCCAGCTGAACCCGCTCCACCCCCCCCCCGGGGCGGTTCCAGCTGAACCCGCTCCACCCCCCCCCCGGGGCGGTTCCAGCTGAACCCGCTCCACCCCCCCCCCCGGGGCGGTTCCAGCTGAACCCGCTCCACCCCCCCCCCCTCGGGCGGTTCCAGCTGAACCCGCTCCACCCCCCCCCCCCCGGGCGGTTCCAGCTGAACCCGCTCCACCCCCCCCCCCTCGGGGCGGTTCCAGCTGAACCCGCTCCACCCCCCCCCCCTCGGGGCGGTTCCAGCTGAACCCGCTCCACCCCCCCCCCCCCGGGGCGGTTCCAGCTGAACCCGCTCCACCCCCCCCCCCCCCGGGGCGGTTCCAGCTGAACCCGCTCCACCCGCCCCCCCCGGGGCGGTTCCAGCTGAACCCGCTCCACCCCCCCCCCGGGGCGGTTCCAGCTGAACCCGCTCCACCCCCCCCCCCCGGGGCGGTTCCGGCTGAACCCAAACACCCGGAGCCGGGCGGGAGGGCGGGGCGGGCGGCTGCTCCGGGTCTCCCTCCTCTGGGGGGGCGGGGGGTGCAGGCCACAGCCGTGGGTGAATGCTGGCAGCTCTGGGGCAGATCCCCGCTCTGCCTGCAGCTGGCCTCGGGGTCCCCGCGGGAGAAATGGGGGTGTTTGACCTCCTTGAGGGCGGGGGCGGCGAAGGGAGCCAGGACACGGGGCCCACACGGGCGGCTGTTGCTGATATCATCCTTCCTCCTGAATATGAGAGCCGCCTTGTTCAGGG